TGAAAAAGGTCTGAAAACTTGGCTCTGCCATTTGGCTTGGGGTCCCAGTAGGGGAGTGCTATGCTGATCCCACCTCACCCCCTGTGCAACTTGTTTATACCCTCCTTATATCTCTGCATTTTACCAAGAATGGAGAACCAGCTGGTAGCCTAGTGGGATACACTTAATTATTTTTGAAGGGCAACATTTCATCACAATTCAAATGAGTGGAACTAGGGAGTTTCCTCTCCCCCCCCCACCCCGCAATTTGAGGGGTGGATTTTTGTGTTCATTTTCATAACACTGAACAAATATTTAAAGATTGGACTTATATTACAATTTGATGTAATATAAAACTGCTACAAATCTGTGGCATAGATACTGAACAACAGAATAACAGAGTTGGAAGAGACCTTTGGAGTTCTTCTAGTCTAATCCCCTATACCCGTGATGGTGAACCTATGGCACGTGTGCCACAGGTAGCACCCGGAGCCATATTGGTGGCCACATGAGCATTGCTGTAGGTCAGTTCCAGTGCGCATGTGTGCGCTGGCCAGCTGTTTTTCGGGCCTTCTGGTCCCACCGGAAGTTGGCAAATGGACTATTTCTAGCCTCCAGAGGGCCTCTGGGGGGTTGGGGAAGGCCATTTTCACCCTCCCCAGGCTCCTAGAATGCCTCTGGAGCCTGGGAAGGGCAAAAAATGGGCCTACCAGGACCACGTGCCATTGCATGCCAAAAGTGTGGGGAGCATGGGGGGTCATGTGTACATGCATGGGGGGAGGGGCACATTGAATTATGAGTATGGGCACGTGTGTGCACGACCTCCCCCACGCTCCCCCTGCTTTTGGCACACAACGGCAAAAAGGTTAGACATCACTGCCCTATACCATTTCAGACAAACGGTTGTCTAATTTCTTTTTAAAGGGGACTTGGTCACAAATTTCCAATTTTATTGCATACAAATCTTCTAAAAAAAATGAGATTGTTTCACAAAACTTCTGAGATCTGTTAGAATTAAAACAAGAATTACAGCTAACTATTATTAAGCAGTGTTAGGTTGCCAGTCTTCTGAATTGCAAAGAGTTTGTAGTCTACATATCTTGTTGACTTGTTTTATTGAAGACCTAGTCTAATCAAAATGCTTAAATAACTTCCAGTGCTTTTGTAATTTCTAAAGGTCACCTTGTTAATCATGGCCCAATGTTGTAGGGCTGATTGATCTGTGGGTGTGACAAATCTTCGTAATAAAAACTAACTGGATCAGCTACGCAAACCACAAACATTACCACAATTCTTCCTGACTGGCAAACACAACTGGACAGATAAGGCAACAGAAGACAAGCTAATCTGTCAGGCAGCGCTTGATGAAATAACCTCTTTCCTCGAGTGTCACTTTTAGTCACTTAATTGCTATGCACTGGAGCATGTTAGGATAGCCCAAGCAGTTTTTTTATGGGCATACTGGAGGAAAAGAAGGAGAAATAATGTTCTGAAAAGATAGGAGCCCTTTGTAGGACTACACTAAAGGTATTCAAAAACTGGGCTTGCTATGGTATTATCTGATAAAAATAACTGAAGAATTTCCTAGAGATGGCTCAAAAGCTACTGAAATAGCAAGCTAGTGAAAAGCTAATGAAAATGCAGCTTGTTTTGGTAGACTACAACAACAATCACTACAAACACAGATCAGTTTAATCAAATATTGGTGTCCATGCTGCAGTTGTATGTTACAGTGATAAACCAGATATCGGACCACAGGAAATCTACTTCCACAGAATTGTGATGGGGAAAAATGCAAATCTTGAGTATTTGTAGCTTTCAAACCACCTTCCAGAAATTCGGCATCTAATTGAATCATACCCATCTGACCAGGAATTGTTACCCCAACTGATGTAATTTGTGACAGAAGAGGAACATTCATCCATTTTTAAATGTTTTTCACCTAAAGTGGAACCTACAGGGTTTTCTGTTGTTTTACTTAAGGGACATATTCATTATCGTGCCTAAGAAAGCTTGTGTATTCTTGAGTTAATTAATTTTCTTTCTATTTCTTAAATAATTACAAGCGAAGGAAGTAGAATATCACATTTAACCAGCAATAAATTATTGTACTGTATGCTGGAAAAACACAAACTTGGGCAAAGACTACTTTCAAAAGTCTTTTTAACAGATCAGTTATAATATTGAACATTTTATTTTGAACAGTGGTTGTTTGAGGAAACATTTAACTCTATTGTTTGCATCAATTCATAGATTGACTTCTTGGCTATAAGCTTTAAGCCTGTCTATTAATGTCATTCATTAGATTTGCCCTTTGTTATGGACTGACATAGGATACCTTTAATGCTGACAACATTGAGCTTTAAGAAGGGAAAGGGGTACTACAAAATGCTGAAAAGAACTGTTTACATCTCTGCACACTACCTCCTTATCAGATTAATGATAAGCAGACAAAAAAAGCAAAATTAATTCCTAAATCTCAGTCGGAGTTTGCAAACAAAAACAACATTAAACTGTCATAAAAACCAATATTAATAATAAATGGGGCTGATTTTAGAAGGATTTCTCTATTCAAGTCATTTGACATGGAGAAAAAGGTGGCATCAACAATTGATGGTGTTAAGGAAACGTCTTTTAAATTCTATCTTCTTTTTTAAAAAGGATAATCTGTTATTTCTTACCTTGAAACAGAAGAGACACATCAATACTCATCAACAACTAAATTTCAAATTCAGCACATTATTTTGATGAAGTTGTTTCAGGAAACCTGACATTGAAGCAAAATACTTCTTGCAATTTCATCTTCATGAGGCCCAGGATATCTTGCTAAATGTTCTTTAAAATCATGGAAGCCATAGTAATTCTCTCAATAATATTTCCTTCATTTGCTAAATGGGGACTTGAGCATATTACAGATTACTCAAACTAGGAGTTTTTCTGACATTATACCTATGACAAGAAAGCAATCCCAATATCTGACTACTAAACTAATGGATACACACATAGATTTTTCAAGCAAAAGGAATATTGTAAAGGGACTTGAGAAATTCCAGGAATGCAGTCTAGAGAATCAGTTTGGTCTAGTGGTTAAGATGCCAGGCTAGAAAGTGGGAAACCATGAGTTCAAGTCCCACCCCACCCATAAAATCCAGCTGAATGACTTTGGGCCAGTCACTTTTTCAGCCCAACTCATCTCTCAGGATTATTGTTGTAGGAAAAATAGGAGGAGGAAAGTACCACTCGCCATGCACACAAGTTTATCAAAGCCTGGCAATTCCATCAATATACACACCAACCTACAACCAGCTTATGAAACCCTCAGAATTCAAATCAACTGCACAGCCAACCAGCAACTGCACTAACCCTCAACCAACCCAAGCAACCCCCACAACCAGCACTTCACCTTCCAATGACCTTCACCTGATGTGACCTCCCCATCCCAAGACCTACTGACCACACAAAATCCTTATAAGCAGAAGAATGTCAACATAGATATCCCCTAAATTCCGCTGAAGAGCCTGGTAAAGAAACGTTTGGAAACCAATCCACAAACTTGGCTGACTAACTTCCACCATCATCCTTTGTCTGAGCTAGATATTTGGCACTATCGGAGGAAGATGGGTTGAATATGTTCACTGCCTGGAATTATTTACAAAAATAATAAAGGCAGGATACAAATAAATAAATTAAATTTTAAGATATGCCAAATTCATGGATAAATTCATAAGATTAAACAAAACCAATTCCTGACTTAGCATATTTTTCCATTGATAAAATAGCAATTTATCTTATACATGTTAAAATATTATGTTTCTGTAAATTGTGAATGTAAATGGTGGTGTTAACAAAAGTCTCACACCACCTTTTCCCAGTACAATGGAAGCTATATTTTGGATTATAAACTTTATTTATTTCTTACATTTCTTACATTCTTCTGGGTTTGCTACAAAGACAGAAACTGCTGAAAGTGTTCAGATCAAGTTTAGAGAACAAGGAAAAGTTGGTTGATTATCTTACTAAAAAGGGAGTGCAAATTTGAAGCTGAATGTATATCCAAAGCAGAACACCAGAAGACATTACCAAAGAAAATTATATAATTATTAAACAGTTGAAAGATGGATCGGATGGTCTTATTTTGAAATGAGAAAGTATTTTCCTTAATGTAAATTAACTGAATAGAGTTTTGGATCTTTTAATTTTTTTAATTCTGATATTCAGAAAAACATGTGCCTACACCATGTTGATCTGATCTTCGCAATAAAGTAGCAAAGAGCAGATTATGAGGAAAAATGATTTCCTCCTTCTGTTAAAAAACTGAATACGATCACATTTTTGGGGATCATAGAGATCAAGAATCAATTATCTCAGGTGGGGAAAAAAATACATATTCACCATTTAGTCAGAGGAACAAGGAGAATTCTAGTAGACAGCTAGAAGAAAATTGGCTGCATCTTTCTTTTTGTAGCTACACCCCCCCCCCCAATATGCTCTTTGATCTTTAGAGAACGAATTAGAACTTAAGGGCATTCCAGCAAGACTGTTTATACATTTGGGAAATCTGGCTCCAAAATCTAATATCTTTATCCAGATTCACCAATACTGCAGGTTTAGGCCAAAGCAATTTTGGGGTACATGATGATGGAAGGGATCAGGACTGCATCACAAACATTTGATTTGATTATTTATTTCTATGGCTGTCCAACTCAAACATGGCAGTAACTCTAGTGGGGCTTGAGTTTTCTTCTGTTTCCTGGATTTCATGGGACAGGAAGAGTTCAGAAAATATTTTTAGTTTTTATAATAGTTGTTTTAGGTTTTATGCCATAGTTTTGTTTGTCCTCTCTTAAAATGATAGGAAAACGTATCTTGGGATTTTCTATCCCTTCCAATGAAGGCAATTTTTGGATAACATTCCACCTCCATTATTCATTTCACATAAATGTTAGCTAGTTAAAGCTTACGTGTCAAAATTAAATTCAATGATATTAAAATGTACTTTGCTACATGCAGAGAAAAATTACCTTGCTTTTTCAGGAACGCCCATCTGCTGGTGATTATTAATAGACTCCATCAGTTGTATTTGCTGGTTATATTCTTTGCCTTCCACCTGCTTCACAAAATTGGGCTGCAGTTGGTCAGTCACTCCAGGATGCTTTTCATAATCTTTGGTTAAACACCTGAATTTGGCTAAAAGAACAATTTCTAGGAAATATTTTGAAGTATGACAAAATGATATCAGGACAAGAAAGGGTGCTTGATGCCACCTAAGTATAGGTCTAGCATGTGGAATTTTTCCCCATAACTTAGCTTTATTGTCAATCTGTCATATTTTACATATAGCAATAGCACTTAGACTTATATACTGCTTCACCATGCTTTTTACAGCCCTCTCTAAGCAGTTTACAGAGTCAGCATATTGCCCCCAACAATCTGGGTCCTCAGGAAGGATGAAAGGCTGGTCAACCTTGAGCCTGGTGAGATTTGAACTGCCAAATTGCAACAGCCGGCGATCAGCAGAAGTAGCCTGCAGTACTGCACTCTAACCACTGCGCCACTGAGGCTCTTATACCAGATTATATTTTAAAAAGCAATGAGAGGATTTGGGAAAGAACCACACTGAGCCTTGGTAGTACAGTGGTTTAATGCACCCTGTTATTAACACAGCTGCCTGCAATTACTGCAGGTTCGAATCTTACCAGGCTCAAGGTTGACTCAGCCTTCCATCCTTTCTAAGGTAGGTTAAATGAGGACCCAGTTTGTGGGGGCAATAAGCTGACTTTGTATAAATATACAAAAGTATGAAGGCTATTGCTTAACGCATTGTAAGCCGCCCTGAGTCTCTCGAGTAGGGCGGCATATAAATCAAATTAAAAAAACAAAACAAAACAAAACAAAAAACCTGTGCTGAAATGCCACTACTATCTTCTCACTGAATATTTTAACAGAATTGTCAGCCTTTCTGAATACATTTCTGCTTGTTCTCAGAGTAACTTTGAAATCAGGTAGTAAGTACCTTTTGAGGGCTCTGTTGTAACTTTGAATGGGTCACTAAGTGATAGATTGTAAGTCAAGGACTACCTGTATTTGTTAAGGTAGAACCATTACTGTAGAAATTAGGCTGTATCGCTGCCTACTTCCAATGTTGCATGTACTATTATATGGCTAATAAGCATTATTTGCTCCTTCAAATAGATTGAGACTTTACAATGCCTGAGTCGCATGACATTCTTTAACTCTTCTGAAAATCTGCTCTATAAGAACTGGGGCCCCTTTGGAATCACCTGGGTGACTACTCTGAGAAGGAGGGTTTAAATCTCTCCAAGTTATTTTCTATCTGTGCAGAAGACTACTTAAGATTAAAGCCAAAGGATCAAGGGAGGTAAAGGCTACAGATATATAATCTAAACATCTTGAAAAAGCTAAGGAGGTCTGGAACAGGTCATTTCATGACACTGAAAGACTAAGAATCCCATTTATATTAGCATGATAAAAGAAAGGTTAAATATAAATATATGAAATACAATAAATACCTATTGACCTAAAATCACTGTTGTGCATACACTGCAGGGCAAATCCTTCATTAACGAGGATAATAGGAAGGTGTTATAGCAAGCAAAAATATTACCAAAACATTTCTAATGCTGTGTTTATGTGCAATGTATATACTGCTTTTTAAAAATGATCAGACTATCATTCACTTGCCGATAAAATCATTGAATTCAGCTGACCATAGTTCTTGCTGCTATAATACTGGAGATGGATTCTTGTAGAAGGTGGTACTAAAACAAGTTAATATGTTAATACAACAGGCCTGAAGCTAGCCCCCCCCCCCCTATTAAAATGTAAATAGTCAAACTGAGTAATGAAATTGCAAGACTAATTGCAAATTGATTTCCTCTTATTTATAAGGAGCCCTTTTAGAAAAGTAGAATTCAACACTGATTACCTTAATGTTACAAAGCTAACAACATACTATACCATAAATATGACTAATGACTTATTTTTTTATTATTTACGCACAAGTTCCCTGTAATCCTAAAAGCCATTAGTTTAACAGTTCTTTGTATTCTATCAGGTTGAGAGAAAAAAAATATTTACTTACAATCAAGTTGAAGACCATGCTCTAAAACAGTATTTTTAAACCTCAACATTAAAATGTATGGACTTCAACTCCCAGAATTTCCTGGCTAGAAATCTGATTGGGGAATTTTGGGAGTTGAAGTCCATATCTCTTAAAGTTGCTGAGGTTGAGAAATATTACCCTAATCCATTGACTAATACAGAATTTTTGATAATCTTATAATCTGGATTTTCCACTGCTAGATGAAATAACAAGAAATATATTATTAATATATGTTTGGGATGTCAGCCCTGGAGGCCATCTTTTTTTTTTTTTTTTTGGATCTTCAGGGCTGCCACACTTCGTGCTGTGGGAAATTGGGATGGGGGATTGCATGGAGTTGCAGGGATATCTAGCCATAATAACATTCTTTTCTCTGAGAGTCAAGGACACTCTTCCTGCACCTGGAGTGGCGTGACTGGGAGGCATCTCCAGTTGGGATGGTGCAATGATTGGACCATGTGATGGACATGTGGGTGCAGGGGGAAGGAACCTGGACTGGAGAAAACCTGGAAGCTTTCAGATTCGGGTTTTCCCAGATGTGCCAATATGATATCTCTAATAAAATGGAAATTTGAGGAACTTCTAGCCTTGGAGTCTTCTTTCATTGGGGTGTTATTTGAAACCCTGACAGAAATACTACCTTAATCCATTAACTAATACAGAATTTTTGATAATCTAATAATCTGGATTTTTCCACTGCTAGATGAAATAACAAGAAATATATTATTACCCTGTTTCCCCAGAAATAAGACATCCCCTGATAATAAGCCCAATCGGGCTTTTGAGCACATGACAATAAGGCCAAGCACTATTTTCAGGGTTCAAAAAAAATATAAGACAGGGTCTTAGTTTCAGGAAAAACAGAAATATATGTTTGGGATTCACAAATAAAAGATTAGACAAGTCTCTACTTATTTAACAGAATTACAGAATAACAGAGTTGGAAGAGGCCTTGGAGGTCTTCTAAACCAATCCCTTGCTCAGGAAGGAAACCATACCATTTCAGAAAATAATTGTCCAATCTCTTCTTGAAAACCTCCAGTGTTGGAGCATCCACAATTCTGGAGGCAAATCATTCCACTGATTAATTGTTCCAACTGTCAGAAAATTTCTTCTTAATTCTAGGTTGGTTCTCTCCTTGATTAATTCTCTTCTTGTCCTGCCTTCAGTTGCTTTGGAGAATAAGTTGATCCCCTCTTCTTTGTAGCAGTCTCTTAGATATTGGAAGACTACTATCATGTCACCCCTAGTCCTTTTCATTAATTTACCGTTTACATCCTTACACCATCCTCCCACAGCTGGCGGCATCCAGAAGGGCTTTCTGCCATGACTCCCATCCTTATTGTACTCATTATACCCCTTCATGTGACATTTGACCCTACCTACTCTCTTGACTTTCCAACAGAGCCTCAATGCCTGGTTCTGACATTTGGCCTGAGAGTTAATGGACTTAGAAGAACATCCCACCCCACTCTGGTTTTTAATGTATTTAGTCTCTGTTTATTTTAATATTAATATTTAATCTTAACATTTGTACCTGTTTTCAAATAAATAAATGAAAAATATCTGAAAGCAGATAGACCCTGGCCCCATCTACCTGCAGTGAAGTTGAAAAAGAAGAAAGAAAAAACAAAGGCCAATACAACTTCAGGTGCTTGTATCAGAATATAATGGGGAAAGGTTTATTTCCTACAGACATATCTGAAAGTAGCATTCTATAAGTCCTACTTTTTGCTACAGTAACGTAAAAACAATTTGTTTAATTAGATGGTAATAGGAACATATCACTGAATTATAATACTCCTTACACCAGAAATATATGTATAATTTAGACAAAGTGATTTTCAAATTATAAAATGTTAATTGTGAAACACTGCATCCTAGAATTTGAATATATCTACCCAAACCTTGAGCTCTTCAGAGAAAAAATCCTGTCATTTCAAGTGCTGGTACTCATGCCGGTACTCAAGCACAACCACAGATTGTAAAAGCATAGATTCAGTTTTTCCCATCTTAAACTATCAAATTTTGTTGAATGGCCAATTCTGTTACATTATCATTCGAGCTGATGATGGAGAATGAAGTCAACGAAAGGAAATCTATCGTTGACTCAGAGCTTTTAATTTCTGTCTACTTTCATGCAGGATTCCAGGAATTTCCAGTTAGTGAGGTAATGGGCTGTGGCATTCTTAAGAATTTAGCATTTGGTTGAGAAATTTTTTTTCTCTGACTTATTTTTTTCAATGCTATTACAGCTGTTAAAAAACCCAAAGCACAGATCAGTTTTACTAAGTTCTTACCTTTGTATTCAGAAACAAATTCTCATGGGATGCAAATCAGCCAAAGGTGGGTTTCCATCACCTATACAGTTTTAATCCCCAGGGCCCATGCTTCAGATCAAATATCACAAGCACTATCTTGCTGTTGCTTGCGTGCAAGCACCTGCTGAGGTAAAGTAGATGAATAAACAAATAAGAACTGGATTAGAAATCCCTTTGGGAAAGGTCTAAAATTGCTTAAATCCTCATTCACTTTGCATTTTTAAGTGCTTCAACTTCATTTGCACTCCTTAAACTAATCTTAAAGTACCCAGTGCCTTGAGATATTTTGGACATCAAACCCTAAATTCCCAACTAATTTGCTGGCCATTCAAGTGGAAACCATGTGAGATAAATTTCAGGAAATCTTTATTTATCAGATTTATCAGATTTAATCTATCAGATTGGGAAAGATGAAATAGCTAAAAGACTTACTCATCAGTTTTTGCGCATTCCCAAATTTCATGATATAAACCTCAACAAAATAACTCTTAGTCAAAATATATGAAGGCTACAATGTGCAATAAAATACATATTATAAGTTAACGCATTTAAAAAATAATCTTTAAAGTAGATATTTTGTGACAAGATAGGTTTGTATGTAATATCTACAAATATTTGCATGTTTACATGTGCAAGACTGATCCAGAAATATAACAAATATATGAATAAACACAGATGAAACCAATACTGATTCAGAAAGAGATCTGACAATCCATTGTATCTTCAATCATGCTGTTTGATTCTAAAAAAAAAATAAAATAAAGCTTTTAAAGACAGCTATGATTTCAAGATTTTTATGCCACAACCTAAGAAGTAGAAACATTCTGAAAGGTTAAGTATTCAAATTATTTGATTTCCCCTAGTGCCTGAGAATAACATTTGATAATTTTGCTGAAGATGGCTGCTGTGATTGCTGTGATATCCCATGGCAGAGGGAATACCTCTTTTGTTTCCATTTATTGCAACGTAGCATCTAAAGACCACTTAAATCCCTTTCTTCAAGACCAGATGCACGCATTTCAAGATTCAATGTAGGCTTTGATAGCAAGTCTTGTTATAATTCACACATCAGCTACGGGCAATAACTGAAGAAGCTCTAGTAAGGCGCTTCACATATGAATAAGTACTTAAAGAGACTCTTCATCACAGTATAAAAATGGACTCAACCAGTTATATAGCTGAAAATGAGATAAATCAGTAAGTGACGATGAACTGTTAAATTGCCAATTCCTCATCTTAAACTGTAGCAGTACATCTTGAGACCCACAGAAGGGCTCCTTGACACATATTTTAGTTTTGGGCAGGTGATGATACACAAAGCATTTCTAGAGCATCAAATTTTTGTACATGTTTTGTAGCCATCCATCCCATAATGATGGTTATTATTAATTGAATCCCACAGACCAGTGGTGGGTTGCTCCCGGTTCGGTCCAGTTCTTGTGAACTGGTAGTAATGGCAGTGGGAGGCTCCGCCCACCCACCCTGAGGTCATCACTGACAATCTGTGCATGCTCAGAAGCGTGCACGCTCCCATTGCGAACCGGTAAGTGGAACCCACCCCTGCCATAGACTATGTGATGTACTTAAAATGGAACATTTTAAAGCAGGGATGGGCAAGATATGGCCCTCCAGATGTTGCTGAATTCCCCTTCCAAGTACTTTTAGTGAGCATGGTCAATGTCATGGAATGGCATGCATAATATTCCAATAAAGTATTGAGGCACACATGTGGCTACATCGTTCTAAATTAAAATATAGTTGGCTACAAAAAGTTTAAGACAGTTCTAATTTATCTGGTATGCAAAAAATAGGTATCCAATGCTCTACAGAGTCTGAGCCAGTGGGTTAGCATGTGTCTAGTTGCAACTTCTGAAGGTTACAAAGGAGAACACATTAGCCAGTGGTGAAATCCAATTTTTTTTTACTACTGGTTTTGTGGGCGTGGCTTGGTGGGTGTGGCTTGGTGGGCATGGCAGGGAAAGGATACTGCAAAATCTTCATTCCCACCCCACTCCATGGAAAGGATACTGCAAAATCTCCATTCCCACCCCAGCCAGAGGTGGTATTTGCCGGTTCTCCGAAGTGCTCAAAATTTCCACTACCGGTTCTCCAGAACCTGTCAGAACCTGCTGGATTTCACCCCTGCATTAGCCTATTTCACAAATAATGCATATATCAGGAGAAGCATGCAAGAAAACTTTCATGCAGATTTTTCTAAAAAGTAGGAAACTTAGCTTGAAATAAGATGAAAGAGACTAATATTGGAAGTACACACTCACTGGAAGAGGTATTCAGAAGCTGGACATTAGATTGGAAATCTGCCATGGGTTTGGTGGACAGAGTCTCAAATTCAGAGACAATATGACTGCAGAACTTTCTTTCCTGGCTCCATAGAAAATTATTATTTTTGGTATCAAAGTTCTATTACTGGGAGATATGAAAAGGGAGTAGACTGGGGGATGGCATGGATTTTAAAAACACTAGATCCACAGGATTCAAAGATCTAACCATCTACTAAGTGTAATCCCTACTCTCTATGTTTTTAAATACATTTCTGTGCAATGTTGAGTTAAACCTTTGGTTGGTGAGTTTTACCAAAACATTTCACCCAGTATTTAGATTTTCCTTTGGCTACTATGCACAAGTATTACAACCATTCATTTAGTGACCATTCAAAATTACAAATGGTGCTTCAAAAAGTGACTTTTGACTGTTTTTCACACTTATGACCATTGCAGCATTCCCACAATCACATGATCAGAATTTTGTTGCTTGGCAACTGGCATGTATTTATGATGGTTGCAGTGTCCTGGGGTCATGTGATCACTTTTTGTGACATTCTGATAAGTCAATGAAGAAGCCAGATTCACTTAACAAATTTTATTAATTTAACAACTGCAGTGATTCACTTAACAACTGTGACAAGATCCTAAAATGGGGCAAAACTCACTTAACCCATCTTGCCCAACAACAGAAATGCTGGGCTCAATTGTGGTCATACATCAAGAACTACCTGTATGAAAGTTGTCCTGAGTAAAGAACTCAGAACAGGTAAATAAATAAATGGATAATTGTCTATGATGATATAAAAATGCACTTAAAAAAAGAAGTCATATTATATATTTTATTACAATGGACATTACTGAGTATAGGATAGAATACAATTTCAATGTGAGGTAGCCATTTTACTATACCCTAATGAATAAAAACAGAATCTTAGGTATATTTTAATAACTTTAGGCCATATTAAAAATAGGATTTGGCCTCAATATTTAAAAGCATTGTAATGAAAGAACAGGGACAGAAGTGGGGAGAATTGCCATGTGATGGATACATAGATGCATAGAGAAATAAAAATAGAGAAGATGTATGTGAAAAAAATAAACAATTGATAAAATGCCACCTAAACTCGGGAACCCTTCAAAAGAGAATCTCCTACTGAAGTATTGCAATCGAGGCAACTTCTGGTCAGCTGACCAGATATATCTAAAGAAAATAGGTAAATTGACAGCAGTGTAAAATTTTTAGAGTTCCCACTGGCAGGAATCACTTCTTATCCTCATTGTTTCAACAAAGCATTTCTTCTAGTAGTATCAATAAAAGAGAATAACTGTGAACTGTGGAGTGCTTAATGCTCTCTGATCTTGGTTGTTTGTTTGCAGATGTAGTTGAATAATGTAACATCTGCAAGCAAACAATCAAGATTAGAAAGCACCAAGGACTCTACAAATTGTAGTAGCATTTGCAGTTTTCTGCCAGGTACCTTACACTATATAATGGCAACTGTTTTCTTACCATTTTGCATTTTTTTCCTCTGCCACTGACTTGAAAGGGGTTAACATTTAGTTGTAAATTAGGTTTTTAGAAGCAATCCAACTGCAAGGTTTTCAGATGGATGATTACAGTTATTATCACATCCTTTTCTTAGCAGCAAGAAATCCCAGCAAGGATCTGAAAGGATCAAACTAGCTTTTTATGTAAATCATAGTATATACCATATGGGTTTTTTTTTCTATAAGGAACACAGCAGTTTTCAAAAAAAGACACAATACCAGTGTCAGGAGGAGGGGAAATCTCACCTTCAGCTATTAACTGTTCATTTCACTGCAATCTTGAAAAATATTAAAAATCTATTCCTTCTTTAAAAAAGTATTATTGAGGATTTTTAAAGAAAAGCATATGACACTCACCAAGACTCCTTTTAAGGGAGAGCTGCTGTTATAACGATTATGTTCCAAATTCTACTAGCATGACAGATTGAAAATTAGGATGTAACAGAAAGTTTATTTATATAAAATGCATATCCCTGAACTTTCAACTGCATTAATGGTTTTCAAGGAATCCTTATCATGCACTGATATATTTGCAGAGGACATTCTTCTTTCTACAAAGTTGCAGAAAATTTTGAGACATGTTACAGACTGTGCACTCAAGTGACATAGGCTAGTATTTTACCAATTTCAATTTTTAACTTTGTTTTTCCACTAAAAAAAATAGTATTTTAAGAATGGCAAAAATATTTCAAGAAAACTAAGCAAAAAGGTATCTTACATGTTTACAATTCACTGATTTGTAGATGCATGCTACGATATCCATTAACCAACGCCTTCTGGCAACTGATGAAATATGAAGGCCAGTTTGTTTTCAGAGAACCTGCTTGTCCTTACCAATTTATTAATATGGAATCACAATAAGTTTTGACAGCCAATTTGGTATAGTGGCAAATGAACCAGATTAGAAACCGAAAGTCTCTGAGTTCTAGTTCTGCCTTAGACACAAAGCCAGCTGGGTGATCAGTCACTTTCTCTTAGCCCTAGGAAGGAGGCAAAACCAAACCATCTTCCAAAAAAAAAAAAAAAAAAAAAAAAACTTGCCAAGAAAAATTCAGGGACCAGACCAGGTAATCTAGTAAAAAATTGACTTAAAGGCATCCCCCTCCCAAAACAAAATCTCCAGTAAATTTTATAGTGATCCACAAGGTTCACTTGGAACCCAAGTATGAAAAACATATTTACGAAATTCTTATCCATCAAAAAGATGTGGTGTGTGTGAAAATTGGATTTTTTTTCATTTTTATGGTCAATTTCTCTCAGAAATTAGTGGTCAAGTGATCATATGGTAATTTGCCTGCTATTATCTAGGTTGACAGCTGCAAAACCCTTATTTATTCTACTGTTTCTATATCCAGACTCCACAAATATTCCCAGCACTTTAAATATATTATACAGTGATAAAAGCTATAATACGAATACCCACCTCCCCATCCCATTCAACAGTAATACAACCCATGTCTTAATAACAACAACAAAGTCATTAACACAGGTTCTGAAGAGAGGCACCCAGCTTTATGCTCCAGAGAGACACTTCAATCACACAACAGGATGCAGATCTGGACCATCCTATCAAAAAAAAGGGCAAGGGCTGAAATCCTGTATTATGCTCTACTGTCAGATTTGATTATCATAAATTGCTTTACAGGGAAAACGGCAAGCGTAAAACCAACGCTGATTTGCAGAAAAGGCTCGGTCTGAAATCACATCCTGCTCCTTTAATAAAAAAAAAATACCTGAAATAATGAAAGCGTATAAAGAATTTGTTTATGTTCAGAAATATGTATGTTTTATATTTTAATTGCAGGGCATGGATTTCCTTAAGGCTGTTTTTTTTCAAAATTATGATTATTAACCTTTTCCTTGAGGTAGCAGACTGGCCTTTGAAGTCTGCACCATTAGCTGAACAAGATCTCCTAAG